GAACGGCCCGTGTCGCGGGACGTTCGACGTTGGGTATCTTTGTTCGTTTTCTGCGAAGGCTAAGGAGGCTCCGAGCCCTGGTTGCCTATCAATGCGGGTACCTTTCGCGGTGGTGAACTCACCTTTAGAAGGGATTTTGAGGTGACATGACCGTTTCCGTGGAGAGAAAGTACGTTGCGTTCCAGCCGATTCCGGTCAGCAGGCGTAAGCCTTGCCTGTTTTCTCTAATACTCTATCACCATGATCTTCCTCACTTTACATGCCGCTCCTTGAATGCGTGAATACGGTTAATTGCATTTACATGTCAAGCCTCTTGATCCTTTTTTTGACTTCTTTTTTTTTGCGCGAAAGATCGGACTTTGGTTTCTAATGCAAGGAGGGCTAGGTACCTTCAATTTCTTGTCCCCACGGTGCTTGTCACGTGACCTCAAAACTCCATCTTGCTGGTGAGTTAACTACCGGGAGAGATACCCGCATTGACCAGCAAACCGGCCCAGCTATTTCTGGTAGTCACAGTAGAAATGAACACAAATAATGCAAACATTTTAAATAGGCAAACAAAGTAAAGGCTTTTGAATAAGGACGGCAAGCTCCGAAGGTATAATGCGGGTGGACTTTGAAGTAAACATATTCGAGAGAAAGCACCCTACTGAAAAAACCATATGGCGCCCATATGAAAATAAACGGGTCCATACCGGTAACCGTTTAACCATACTGGTCGCCAGTTTGTCAAAGGGGTCGCCCGTATGGCTCATAGGGGTCCCCCGTATGAGCCATAACGGTCACCTATTTGGCAAACGGGTCGCTCGTCTGGGCAAATGGGCGACTCGTTTGGGCAAAGTTGTCGCACGTTTGCTCAAACCGGGGACCATGTTGCAAACTGCACCGGTTTAATCAAACGGCTCTCCGGAGCCCGTTTGATATTGAACATACAGATCGGCGGCGTAGGCACGCCTAGCGTTTCAGCCGTGGCAGCCAATGTTTTCCGGAAGGCTGGGAGCGCCGGTTCATCGATTTCAGATCGTGCGCATAATGCAAGTAATTATATTTATATTTCAATTGCGCTGATTTTCGATTATACTGCAACTAAAACTAACACTTTTTTTTTTTACGTAAACGCGCGACGTTGGTGAGCCGATATTTTTGACAGACCTTTAATACTTTGTCCATCTTTGTTGCCTCAATTTACTTATTCAGCTGGAATCTCTCTTGCAGAACACGCGACCGCGTGAAAGAATGTACGTCTAGACTCCGTTTCACTTTAATTCAAGACGCAGCGAAGGTAGCACGCGTACACGCTGCTGCAAGAACATCGAGCATTGCGAGAGCACGCCCGCCGTTGCAGCACTCAAACTACGAGCTTGCGCTGAGGTTTTTCTTCGCTCGGGCGCAAGCCGAGCTTCTGGCAGCCCCGCCGCCATTTCCAAAGTTGGAGCGCGCGCGCGCGCGCGCGTTTTTGTTCTTCGGGACTACAAAAACGCATCTCCCTAGAATGCCTGGGGAGAGGGAGAGGGGCTGTCCCGGTGGTCCCAGCGCCTTGACCTCGCCCCCTCCCCCCTTTCTTGTCACCCCTGTCACGTGACCCACAGCAGCGCGCGAGCTACACGCTGATAAGCAGTCTTGGGTAGTAACGCGTTACTAGTAACGCGTTACTGTAACTTCGTTACTTTTTTGGTAACTTGTAGCTGTAACGAGTTACTTCTTAAAAATGTAACTTGTAACTGTAGTTCTATTACTTTTTTCTGAGGTAACGATGAAAGTAACGACGTTACTTTTGTCGTTAATTTCCAGTGTTTTATGAATAATATATCACTGAACGAGGGTGCAATTCAGCCATTCCTTGCACTTTCCAAATAGTCTATTCCGACATTTCGAGTGTCAAGTTGGCCTTGCGCAAAGTTGTGAATACGTTCTTTCTCGCGAGTCACGACCCGAATATAGCCACGTGTAGATTTTATGAAAAAATATCTAGTTATCTTTACGCACGCGCGTGTACTTTGTGACTCAGCACTTACATCTTAGTGTCTTGAAGCACTACTGATGTTTTGGTTTTTCTTTTTTCTCTGCGATCGCATTTTAATCGGGGGAATCAACCGTGAAACAACAATACACGTGGAGGGCACTGCGCATGTCTCGTATTTTGATTAGCGCCACTACTCTGGCATGGAAACTTTCAAACACTAACTTCGAGAGGCAACTGCTGCTAAGCTACAATATAAAGTAAAAAGCGTACTTTTTAATTTTATGCAATAAAACGTTGTGAGAAGCGTTTTCTGATTTCTTCTAAATTTTTTTTTGTTATAGAAAAGTAACTGAAAAGTAACGTCGTTACTTTTTAAAAGTAACTGTAAATGTAACGAGTTACTTTTTAGTTGCGGTAACTGTAACGGTAACTTCGCTACTTTTTACAAAAAGTAACTGTAACTGTAACGAATTACTTTTTAAAAGTAACTTACCCATGACTGCTGATAAGCATCGAGATCCGGAAGGGCGCGCCTTGCAGCCGCTTTTTTCTTTGTCTGCTTGTTGTCAGTTGCTGCTCGAAGTTCGCTCGTCCTACCTGCTTCAATCTGCCGCCTAACCCTGCGGTCTTATTGGGATGTCTCTCGACAACGTATTGGATGTGCATCAAAGCTATCAGTGTTCGAAAAGACCCACGTGTATGTCGGCAACGAGCGACTCTTCAAAGAAGTCGCAAATTCTCGCGGTTTGGTTGGGTTCGGCAAATGACAGCTTGTGTGCCGCATCGTGTTGAAACTTCCAAGGAGCCGTTCCCTCTCGTCTGTGTTTGTGTGGTTGTCCTGCTTTGACCGTGTCGACAAATATCACGGATTACCTCTTTAAAGTCCGCTATTGTTATGGTAAGTGCACTGCAACCTACGTGTTGGCAACGATTGACCGTTCTTCTACGCGTACTCTTCTAAATTATCTAAAAAATTACGCAGCGCCTATTCGCGCGGCAGCCAGGAGAATAATTTCCCCGAAAGTCTACCTGTATAGTGTTCACAGATCGCTTGCACGTTTGTACTTGTCTACAGAAGAGGTAATAAACTTCAAGGAGAATTGAAAACAATCTTTTGTGTCGGTTTTCCTGTCCACTTACAAGCACCTACGCGAGTGCATTTGTTCTACGTGTTTTCTCCATGTTATAAGTACGTTTATGAGTTTCGGGACGTCTTAAATATGTTTAAGATAACCAACCTCCCAGACGATACCCATTTAGGGCTAGCGCATAATTTGCCATTTCAAAGGGCACGTTCAAACGTGTGGTCACGTGCCATGTCGAACGGGTACTCGTACCATACGGCACCCGTATCAAACGGACACCTGTATCAAACGGGTACCGTTTCGATCGGGTACCGTTTCCAAACGGGTACCCGTATTCCATAATCACGTTTGATCCAAACGGATCGACAGGTTTGATTCAAACGGGCGACCAGTTTGCCACCCGTTTGAATTTCAAATGGTTTTTTTCAGTAGGGCAGCCTGGTTTGGTGAGAATTAAAGTCCGAAATATGTAGCTCCGACCAAATTCTCGCAGGGACTCCAATCGTTTCGAAACTAGCTGGCTTTCTTCTTCAAGAGTGACTGAAAGCACGCGGAGCAGCAGCAACTCCATACCTCTTGGTCTTCAAAAAAGAAAAATCTAAAAATATCTTTTAGTTCTGGAGACGATCACCTCTTCAGCTTACTGGTCAGGTCACCGAGGCCATATGAATACACAGAGGGCAAGGCGCCCAGGGACCTGTTTAGGTCTCCTGGCGTATGCTGGATTTGTCATGACTCTAAGAAAACAGTTCTTCGAATATTTGGGTGTGTCAATCACGTGCGCGTTCGCGAAGTCAATATGATGGTCTAATGCAGGGGTGGCCAGACTGACCCGGCCTACGAGCCGCAAAGGAAACCGCGAAACTTTTAAGAGCCGCCGAAAGGGGGGAGGGGGGGGGGGGTAAAACAAACACCGATGCCTGGTTATCTCGCCCCCCCCCCCTCTCCCCCCCCAAAAAAAGCATAAAAAAGCAGCTTGCGGTTCAGAACTGCAAGCCGGTAAATATAACAATGAGAATGTTCTTGGTCCTTTGTGAACTTGAACATAACGTTTGTGACTAGTGGAAGCTATGAATGAGGTCACCCCGAGCTTCCGCGACCTTCAACAAGACACGATATGGAGGGAACATCCGTTACCTAAAGGGGACAAGTATCACGAGCGAGTGACAAAGGCCGCGAGACAGAACATTTCCTCGACCCCAAGCCAAAGTGCATGCGTGTCTTGACAGTCCCTGTCCTTGATGCCTTTTGGGTCCGGCAAACTCTCTCGAACAATGAAAGAAACAGGATCTGTGGAAACATACGAGTGAAAAGGGGTTCGACTGTACGTACGGGGAACAAGGCGGCCAAACCGCAAGATGTTCTTTATTCTGAAATCCTTTACATTTTCCTGGGGAAACGCGGAAAGGGGTGAGGGGGGGGGGGGGGGGGTCTTCTTACCAGGCATCCGCGAGCCGCACCGTGACCAGCAAAGAGCCGCATGCGGCTCGCGAGCCGCGGTTTGGCCACCCCTGGTCTAGAGTGTGGCAATGCTCGGCGATGGCGCTGCGCAAACTGTCGAACTTCTGCACGCCTGTCCGATGTATGTTCCGGGGAACTCTGTGCATTGTCTGGTGTAAACCACAGCCGTTTCTCTTTTTTCTGGCAGACGATCTTTGGATCCTGGCATGAACCTTCCTATTGTGAACATGGACTTGTGCGCCATCTGAATTCTTTCTTTTCCCAGTACTCGTGCCAGTGCTTCGGCGGCTCACTTTACGTAAGGGACGCTAAAGCGCGCGACTCGATGAGGCTGCTTTTTTCTAGTGGCTCTGTTTTTTTCTGGCAAGACCTCGACGTCAGGCGATGCGTTTAATTAAGCTACTGGAGTAGCCATTTTTTAAAGAATGCAATTATGGTCTTCTTCTTCTTCACGGCGGACGTGGCTTCGTAACGTCTACACCGTTCCCGACAGCAGTGACATCGCCTACAAAAGCCGCGTCCCGACTGGATTTCGCCAGTGGGCATGGTAGCGCATCTCGGAGCATGACGACTAAATGGCTCTTCCTGATTACGCAGTTGATGCTGGCATCGGTCGGTTGCCTTCCAACACGTGGCCAGCACCCGTCGCCTCAAGTGCAGCGTCAAGATGCTGACTCACCCTGCATCTACGATAGCTACTCAACGGGACCATGTGGCTTCGTGACGTCTACACCGTTCCCGACAGCAGCGACATCGCCTACAAAAGCCGGGTCCCGACTGGATTTCGCCAGTGGGCATGGTAGCGCATCTCGGAGCATGGCGACTAAATGGCTCTTTCTGATTACGGAGGTTAGTAAAAATAAGTCAATTTATTACGAGTTTAAGAGCAATTATGTTTGCCTTATTGTGCTGCCATGCCCCGGCACTGTTCTTCGCATCCTTGTAGAATGTGTTCGCACGGTAAAGTTGTTGTTATTACTGGCCGGTGACGTGGAAACTAACCCCGGCCCTGATAAAGCTAGTAAAGCTGATACGCAGAATCCCCTTCAGCAGATTTTAAAAAGGCAGAAGGACATTGCCAAGGACATCAAAGAAATCCGAAAGGAACAACAAAGCGTTAAGGAAATGTTTGTAGGTGTGAATAAGTGACTATGTGCTATCGAGGCCACCATTGATGAGGTCAAAAGCACGGCAAAGTCCTTCCAGGCTTACAAGGCTAATGTTGCTGAGCTAAATCACACTGTTTCCGATTTAAGAGTGACTGTTTCTCAAATGGGAAAGAAGCTTGATGACTATGAAAATCGTAGTCGACGGAACAATGTTATTGTTTTCGGTATACCTGAAGATCGTCAAGAGAACCCTGTCCAACTGAAGCAGAAAGTTTGCAGTGATATTTTTGTTGGTAAAGTGGATGTACATGTCACCACCATTGAAAGGATCCACCGGCTTGGTTATAACAAAGGAAATCGCCCGAGACCTGTGATTTTGAATGTTCGTGATTTTAACGAAAAGGTCAATTTATTTAAAAACGCTTACAAACTAAAAGGTTCCGAAATTTCTATCTCCGACGACTACTCAAAACAAGTACGATTACTTCGAGAAAAATTGTGGGATAGTGCAGAAGCTAACAGGAGGCAAGGTGACAGGGTAAAACTCGTCTACAAAAAATTGATAATCAACAACTTGTCTTACACGTGGGACACGGAAAATGACACCAGAATTTGTATTTCCACACCAGAACGTTCCATGGCGTCTGTTGAAGGTGCCTTTTCACCGTGACACGTCGTACCTCGTTCGAAATCTTTGAAATTAATAAACGTCAATGCCAGAAGTGTTGCTAATAAAATCGTTGACCTTGAGTGCTTGTTGTATGATCACGAACCTGACATTGTTGCTGTAACAGAAACGTGGCTGCATAGTTCTATTTATGATTCAGAGATTATTCCCCCATCGTATAACATTGTTCGGAACGATCGCGAATCACGTGGTGGGGGCGTTGCCGTTATCCTGAAAAATCATTTGGATTTTGTTGTAATCGATGACGCTCCTGATATCGAGTGTTTATGGCTAAAGCTTACCGGGTTTACTCCGCCAATCGTCGTCGGCGTAGTCTATCGTCCGCCAAATGCTTGCTCATCCGTTCTTGATCTTCTTGCTGATTTTGTTTTTAAGATTAAACAAAAATACCCGGTTCTTGTTATGGCTGGTGACTTTAACTTACCCTTAATCGATTGGGATTCTATGTGTAGGGGCAGTGATTGCCCTAATTCATCCTTGCTAGTTGACCTGGTTTATAATAACAATCTACTTCAAATTGTTAGTAGTCCAACACGAATCACCTCGTCTTCTCAATCTACACTAGACCTCGTGTTTCTATCGGAACCACTTGCAGCACGTACGTACGACTGCCAAGTGGTGGATGGGATCTCTGATCATCAAATGGTACTCGTTGAGTTTTCTACTTCAACACTTCGTCCTTCATTACGTAAAAAGAAGATTTCTAGGCGTGTATTTAATTTTTCTAAAGCAGAAGACGAGTCAATACTTGACGCGCTTGAGGTGTCGTTTGATTCTTTTTCAAACATGTGTTCTGATGGTTCTTCTATTGATACCCTTTGGAATTATTTTAAAGAAACCGTGCTTGAATGCTTACGAAGGTTTGTTCCAACGAGTGTCAAAGTTACCAGAAAACATAATCCATGGATCACTCGCGATATCCTACACCAAAAACGAAAAATTAATCGTGCCAGGAAGGGCAAAAGACGTTTAAATATCAATGAAATGCGTACAAGACTGAAAGCTATGATTCGCCTTGCAAAACATAAGTATAACAATATAACTTTGCACACGTTCCTTAGGGAATCACCCAATAAGTTTTGTAGGTCTTTGTCCCCGGTTTGAAAAGACATTTCCAAACTTATGGTTTCGGACAGATTATTAACGGATGACTGTTCCATCGCTGAAGGTTTCAATGATTATTTTTCTTCTGTTTTCACCTCAGATAACGGCATTCTTCCTTGTTTAAACCTGTCACCCAACCTATCAGCGTTACCCGATGTTTTTATCTCTCCCGATGGACTGTTTTCAGCGTTGCTTAATCTGTCGACAAAAAAAGCTGGTGGTCACGATGGCATTCTAAATATGTTCCTCGTTCGCTACGCAGAATGGTGCTCAAAGTATCTTTATCTAATTTTTAAAAAGTCATTGTCGGAGTCCGTCATTACTGTAGAATGGAAGATTGCCAAGATCGTTCCCGTTCACAAATCTGGATCTCATCTCTTGCCTGGGAACTTCCGGCCAATTTCTCTGCTTCCTTACTGCTCTAAACTCTTAGAGCACGTTGTTTTTAAACATTTGGCGGCGTATTTAGAAAATTACAACTTTTTTAATGTGAATCAACATGGTTTTCGTCATGGCCCTTCAACCACAACGCAATTACTTGAAACCGTTCATGATTTTGCTGAAATATTAAATCGTTCTAAACAGGTTGATGTAATTTTTCTTGACCTCGCCAAAGCGTTTGACAGAGTGTCACACTGTAAACTGCTTCTAAAACTTAAATCAATCGTGCAAAGCGATATCATCTACTCCTGGCTTGAAAATTACTTGCTAGAAAGAAAACAGTACGTTCAGATAAACTCTAGTGCATCCTCACCAGTCCCTGTGCTATCAGGCGTTCCGCAAGGGTCAGTCCTTGGGCCTTTACTTTTTTTCAATTTTTATAAATGAAATCACTGCTAACATTCCTGTGCGAGCACGTTTATTCGCGGATGATGTTGTTATCTTCACTGAGGTAAATGGTGTTAGTGACCAGACATTACTTAACAGCTGCTTATCCAAGATCCACGATTGGTGTGACTCGTGGCAGATGTCACTAAATGTTAACAAATGTGTTCGCATGCATATAACCCGCAAAACTAGTTTTCTTTTCCATAATTATTCCATTAACAATACTGTCCTAGCCGAAGTGACTTCCTATAAATACCTCGGTGTAATCATTTCAAACGACCTGCGTTGGAACACCCATATCAAATATATTGTTCGCAAGGCATTAACTAAGCTCTGGTTTCTCCGGCGAAATTTAAAGCAAACCTCATCGGATGTAAAATTAACAGCCTATAAAACGTTTGTTCTGCCTATATTAGAGTATGCGTCCGTTGTCTGGGACCCGTTTACTAAAACCAACATAAATTTACTTAAATCCATACAGAGAAAAGGCTTGCGTTTCATATACAACAAATTTCAGAGACAATACCCGGTTTCCGAACTATATGTGTGTTCCAGCCTTAGCCCATTAACCCATAGACGCATGTTTCAAAGATTAAAATTTTTGCTCGACCTACTAAACAACCGATTTAATATTGACACCTCTACATATATTTCACCTGCTCTTCATAATTACCCCACGCGAAATTTTCATTGTAGATAATTACAAGAATACAGCTGTAGGGTCGATGTATTTAAGTTCTCATTTTTCCCAAGGACCATTCATGATTGGAATGCCCTACCCAGTCATATAATAAATGCTTCATCTGAGTCATCACTCATTGCTAACCTTCGCAGTTTCTGTAACTCCTGCGACTGACGGTATTTCTTGTAGGTTGTTTTGTTGTTGTTGTTTTTTTGGTCTAATTTTTATTCAATACTGTATAATGATGACATTGATTGCCTTATTCGCGTGTGCTAAAATTACTAGAAATGTATGCCTTTATACAACATTATGTACCCCCTCCTACCACATCTCCCGAAGGAGATAGTAGTATCAATAAATAAATAGATAAATAAAATATAAAAAGGCCGTAAAATTCCCGAGTAAAGCCATTCCTGCAGATGAGACACAGGTAAAGGCTCTTTGGTTCTGGGAAGTTCTTGAAAATCTCTTCCATCATTTTGCTCAAGTTCCTCTTAACCAACGGAGGTGGGTCTTTCTTGAGTTTTTCACAAGCATGGCTGCCAATAGGATCCCGTACCTTTTCCTCGTTTACCTCCCGGTCCGGGACGACAGTCGACTTCCCTTTGTCGGCCGCCAGAAGTACAATCTTCGTATCTTCTCGAAGTTTGCGACGCACTGTAACGTCTTCTGCAGGCAGGTTGTGTCGCTGTCGTTGTCAGGAGCTTCTAAAGGATGCTAACCGTTTTAAGAGGCACTCCATACTGGACGCTAGAATCTAGGCGAGTTTGGCGACCCCCACAGCCATGCCCATTTTTGAGAGAGGCAGCCGTGCCGTGGTCACGTTAAATTCGTGGCCTTTTGTCACGACTTTAATCTCGCATGGCGGATGTTGTCTAGTGGAGAGGTTCTTGACAAAGTTGGTGTCATTGGTGCCTCGGCTTGAATCATCCGTTCTTGGTAGCCTTCAGATCTCCTCTTTCTGAAATGCCCGTCGTTCATCGAAAACTGTGTATGCGACATTCGTGGCAAAAGCCTGCAAAGCCGGAAACACGTCCGGGATACGGTGCTCGAGTAGCCGGCGTGAGAAGTAGTGGTCTATAGACCGTTTTACTGAAAGAGGGCGAGAGAGAAAAGGGGAAAGGGTTACCGACGCTTTCCCCCTTTCTGATTGTGTAGAAAGAGTGAAAGTCCCGGATGAGGGGGCTCGGCCGGCGTTGGGTGTCTGCTGTGCCCCAACTTCGTTCGCGCTTTCTTTTTTGTTTTGAACTCGCAAACTTAATTAGAGTAACGGGCTTCGATGGCAACAGTTCCCCGGTCATCGCGACACCATTGCTCGGTCATAGGGTGCACGAATAACGACAGAAAGCGTTGAATACTGTCCGAGGACCTATGTAGCTTGCAATGAATCCGGCAAGGCGAGAGCGGCTGCAACCAAATGACCCCGGTATTGGCGGCAGTGAATTGCGTTCGTAAACCGAAAAAACATTTCCTCAACACCATCTTCTCGACTGTGCTCGGAACAGCTTGTGAATGGAGCGCGCACCGAACGCTTTACCGCCGAGGAACATGGGGTACGCTCGCAAGGTGCGTGCCAGTTTTCTCGTGATAATTGCTGTTTCAGCTTGTAAAATTTTGTAACTGAATTTATCTTAATATTGATAATTTGCAGTGGTGACTGGCTCGATTTCGTCATTTACAACACTTAGTTGAAGGCTTATTTCCGCCGCCGGGTGAGGCTAGAAATTGTTGAAAAGGTAGTTCTATCGGTTTTCCTGAATAACGATCCCCTGTGCGATACCAGAGAGCCTGCAAAAGCGCTCCTTGGAGTGCCCGTGGTAGGTTTTTTTGGGTTGTTTCCGTTGATTGGGCGCTTTGAAGCGCTGGATAGTCGCTCCAGGGAACGACTCGTGTGTTGCGATCTGCGTCTTCGAGCCCAGTGTGTACGTTTCTTTGTCCGAGTCATGGCATCCGCCAGTGCGGCAACGGGGGGAACAGCGGCAGCGAACGTGTCAGCGATAGAAATTGGAGGTTAGTACTAAAAATGTTGCATCAAATAGTAAAATATTTTGTGACTCCTTTGACGCTTTCTGCGGTTCGATATAAGCACATCTAGAACGTCTTCGTCGTTCAACCACAATGAAATATGAGAACACTGACACGCAAGATAAAAGCAGCGCAGCAAAGCGATATGTAGCAGCTCCGGGTGTTTACAAAAGTTAATTGAGGTTCCCGTTTTGTGTATCGCTTGTTCATTACTAAAAACGGCTGCGTTGAAATGGGCCTATTGCAAGCAAAAATTTATGAACGGTTCATCATTTTCAGTCACGCGGAAAGCGGTGGAGCTTCGAAACATTGCAGCCGCACGTGCCTTGCCGAATTCCATGCAAGCTACGAGGTCCTTGGGCGGTATTCGACGCTTTCTGTCGTTATTCGTGCACCCTATGACCGAGCAATGGTGTCCCGATGACCGGGGGACTGTTGCCATCGAAGCCCGTGGCTCTAAATAAGTTTGCGAGTCTAAAACAGAAAAGAAAGCGCGAACGAAGTTGGGGCACAGCAGACACCCAACACCGGCCAAGCCTCTCATCCGTGACTTTTACTCTTTCTACACAATCAAAAAGGGGGAAAGCGCCGGTAGCGCTTTCTCCTTTTCTCACCCGCTCTGAAAATGGCGCTGCCCACGATAAAACGGTCTATAGTCCGTTGCAACCTAAGAACGAAGGGCGAGGGTAAGACGGGCCGGGGAGGAGGAAGCAGACGAAACGCTGAAGAGAGAAGGAGGTTTCCCCCTTTCTTCTCCAGCGTTCCGTCTGCTTCCTCCTCCCCGGTCCGTCTTACCCTCGCCCTTCGTTCTTAGGTTGCAACGGACTATAGTTTTTTCTTCCTAGCGTTGCCTGGCAATCGTGAATTCGGGCGCTTACCAAACGTGTCTCCGCCTGCGGCACAATTTTGTGCCCTTTCTCTGTGTAGACGAGGAGCTTGAGACGGAGGCTTCGGGGAACCATGTACATATCTTGGCACGACCTTGTGAAGTCGAAATGAGTCTTGTAGGTTGAGATGCTGCGGGTAACGTTGACGAACTGCTTTGCTAGCTGTGCTGTCTCCGGTGCGATATCAAGTTGTAAAGACTTGGAAGTAAACGTATTTGCCAGAAATCTGCCTGGTTGGGTAAGAATTAAACGGCCCCAGCAATGCTTGACTATCAGACAAACTACCCCCACCAGCAGCCAGATGGCGGCGTCAGAGGCCGTTCTTGCAACGGCTTGAAGCTGAGCTAGTTGGTTCATACTTGTTAAAATGCCAGCTGAACTTTTGAAGGAAACACATACAGAGACGAACGTGTGTCCGCCTTTTTGTTCATCTCTGTGTGCGGGTCCTTCAAACGTTGAGCTGGCATATTAAAAAGCCGTTCTTGCAAACGTCTATATGCCGAGCGCGTACCATCAGCAGCATACACTCCGCACCAAAGCATTCTTTCCTCCCCAATAACCAGTAGCAATGACCACCAGCGTTGTGCTTATGACGTTGGCATCTTTGCCTGAAGGGCTAAAAAATGCAATCTGAGCAGGCACAGTTGCTCTCTTCTACCGAATATTAGACGGCGCGCATGACCACGCAGCACAAGGACTTGTAATTAGTTTGTCGTTGTGATAAACGATAGAACGCACACCAAAATAATAGTCACTTTTTCCCTCCCAAATCTTTCTGAAAGTCAAGTGGAAGAACTTATTGCCTTACTGACTGCCTTTAAAACCTTAATATGTCCCAGCATTTGAGCCTCTGATAGCAATTCAACAAGTGGGGCTTGCCTGATTGTTTTTAGCTGATGGTGCCGGTGCTTTAGCACCTGGTTGATGGCATACCGGGCGTCTTCGTCCTCGTCAGCGTCACTGCGTTTGTGGAGAGAAAATAAATATAATTTCCCCGTTCATATCTAGGAAAAAAGACGCGCGAAAAATAGAGACGTGCTCACTATCGCTCCAGGTATCCCATGAGGAGAATTATCCAACAGAAGATGACTGCGCACACAGCCACTGGGAGCGCCACGAGGAGGGACTTCCGAGTGCTGACACCCATGTACCAAGGGTGACTGAAAAGCAACGAGGAGTTGTTTCGAGGAATTAATACTTAATAAATCATAGAATGCTTATTACCGAAGCCCGATACTCCCAGAAGTTTGTTCGTTTTCCCGTCCTTAGGTGCATTTCCCCGATACATTTATTGGAAACAAATTATGTCACGTCCCGTTACACCACGACTGAGCACCAGGGGGTAAGGACGGGAACAGAACGCGGCAAACACTGACATCGGTGGTCCGGAGTGACAGAAGGAAAAAAACAGGAAGAGCGAGAAAGGAAGCAAGTCATGTTGGTTAAGCGTGCTCGTTTTGCCGCGATAATTAGAAGTGGTTGGAGCATTTGCAAACTGTATTTATTTTTTATACGGTGCGCGATGCCGGTGTTTTTCTGCAGAATAAGCTAGAAAGAAACTAGTACAGGTCTCACAGGTGAGATTTTGCTGCCTTTTTGTGTATATTAAAGCGTCAACAGCGACATGAGTCCATCGGGACGAGCCACGGATGGCTGCGTCTATTCCCCACCGTTCTGAAGCCACCAGAATGCATGGAACCTTTTTCCTCTAGATTACTATATTATCTGTGTGCTTGAACCCCCCCCCCCCCCCCTCCCTCCATATTGTCACATTGTTTTTCCTCGTTGACGTCAACTTCTCCGCTAAACTTAGTGGAGTACTGATGTCACGTGACCTGGTGTAAAGGTGAGGCCGGATCGCGTGAACCCGTTACTCCACGGTGTAACGTGATGTAAATTTTACCACTAAATTCAGCGGGGAGACGAATAAACAACATGCTCTCTTCACGCCGAAACTACTGTTTATTGTATTCTGCAGATGTTTAAGCGATTGCTCCTTGAATACTGCATTCCATGCATTATAGATTTATTTATTTGTTTACTTGAAGGATACTGCCGGCCGCTCTTTGGTTTCAAAGATAACGAGGGGTGTACAATATAAAAGCATACACAGATACACAATAAAAAATGCACACAATCTATTTTGAAAATATATAGCATTTTGCATTGTGGCTACATACAATTGTAAGTTACTAAAATCAAATAATGTCAGCGCTTGCGAAATAACAGTATGTAGCAATATCTGTAATGCTACGAGACAGACCGCTCTAATATTGAGCGAAACAAAGGAAAACAAATGCCTATGTGATAACCATAAGCTGACGCAGCTCCGTTCGCGTCTTTTGCGAACATTGCTTGCAGCGAGTTCTTAGGTGGTGCCAGATGAACACTAATAGACAAACAAATAGACAACTGCTCGACTATCAACTATATTCAACGTTACTAAAACAGCTCTGTTGGGAAACTGCCATAGAGCCTGCTCTCAAAAAGTGGCACCGATCTGCACTCGAGAACCGAGCAAATGGCGATCTCAACGCCGAAATTTCTCCTGCAGCGGCCACTCGGGGAACTGCACGGCTGCTTGCATTGGTTAGGGAGTATCGCACTTGATAGCGCCCACTGTTACAATTATATTTTGGCTATAATCGGCCATTCTAGCGCGGAAACATATACAGGGGAAGGGGTTTCAGGGATGCCAGCCCCGTCTCTCAAGAGGACGCGCCGCGAATTTCTATCGAAGTTAGCACGCACCCAGGTTGCACGCGCTACCTGAAATCACCGGTGAGACATGGTTGTATTATTTTGTCACGAAACCTTGTAAACTAGAGATGTTAGAAAACATCACGCGCCTGTCATTCTGTACTAATCTCCAATAAAAGTTGCTACAAAAAAAAAGCTTTTTATGTTTGTTTTCACGCAAAAACATGTTCTCTAAAAGCTTTTGGTGACAAGGGGTTCGGTGACCGAGGGAACTAGCACATACCAGCTCGGAGCACGTGAAACGAAAGCTCGCGCTGCGGGACCCAGGGATCCTGGGCCGGTTTGCTCATCTTGCGGCCGCGGCCGCGGCTGCGGCCAAGAGAAATTTTTATATCACGTGACCAGCTCCATGGGGGCAAGGAAGTACCTAGCGTCCCTGCCTAAAGGCGGAGAAATCCGGATAGCTTCAAGCACAAAAGCCAAATTTCGCCCGCAGGGACTGACTGCAGGGACTTTCAACTGGAGTCCAATTGACCGTCCCTTTATGCTGTAGGAGCGGCAGGTAAAGTTACGGCAAGGGAGGGTAAATATGAACCAAAATAAAGAAAAAAAAAACACGCGAGATTATAGCGGTGGCAGTATATTTATATACCTCCGCCAGTGTTGGCGGCTCGCGTCTTCTGTGTGGTCGAAAGGTTAGAGCGCCGGTACTTGTCGTCGCGGCGTGGAAGTTCCGAGTTCAAACCGCGCGAGGCACTCCTTTTTGTGTGTGTGTGTGTATCTTACGCGTGTCTCACTCTTCAACTGTGATCCTTTTTAAGAATCATCCACTAGCACTACTGCGCCTTACACGGTTTTTACTGTTAGTCCCACCTATTCAATCGAAACACCGAGAAGAAAAGAAAAGGAAGATCAGGGCAAGTTAACGGGCTAATACAATGGTTTCATAATGTTCATTAAAAGGAAACCAAGGTAACAGCATCGGTATGGCTTTCACAAAAACGGAGCGGAAACAAGCATCCTTTCCCCAGCAACAATAATTTTATGTTTTTAAATATACAACGCTCTTGCTACGACTCCTTGCAATAACAGGAGACGCCTATTTAGTACTAATAAGAACTGCAGTTGTGACAATTAAAAAAAAAGTTCCACAAAATAAGCAAAAAGAAAAAGAAAAGACTAGCAGCTGTGGATGCACTGATTGAGCGAAATCCTACAGGCAAGGCAGAAAGTCAAACGTCTGAGAAAGTAGTAAAACCGAAATTAAGGAGATCATAATTTTACTTGCATGGAATGTGATAAAAGGTATATTTTTACTTTTTACATACTGCTTTGGCCCTCGCTTTGTAATATTAATGCATTACTTGTTGAATTTTAGTCAGTATAGCAGACAATCAGAACCGAATGCAAGAATGAATCAGGCGTTCACATCACCAGCCATCTTTCTACCGCAAACACCTAAAATGACTTTGGATCAACAAATGGAATTAATTAGAGCAGTTGGAAAACGGAAACAAAAATTTCTAGAGAAATTCAGCAGCACAGTTACCTGGCGAACGAAGAGACGGGCAAAGGATGATGTTGTTAACTTTCCGCGGAGTGTACGGCAGGTACAGGAGGTGTGGCGGAAGTTGGTAAAGAAAGCCAGAGACATGTATGCGCTCTTCCGAGGTCATGAACAACGAACTGGTGAGTGAGAACTACCCGCCCAATGATTCTATAGAGCTCATAGGCCTTGTCAACACTCTTAGTGGGAGTGCAGTCAAATACAAAAAGAAAAAAAAAAAGAGTGTCTGGCACGATTTGAACCCGGGACTTTCACGCCGCGACGTCAAGTACCGGCGCTCTAACCTCTCGACCACAGCAAAGAGCGCGAGCCGCCGGCGCTGGCGGAGGTAGATACTGCCACCGCTTTTATCTCGAGTAATTTTTTTTTTGGCTTATATTTACTTTCCCTGGCCGTACTTTACCTGTCGCTTCTATTTATTTATTTATTTATTGTACTTTTCCGGTGCCCCTAAACAGCCCATAGGCCTACATAAGGGTGCACCGTTGACACCTACATGCAGTTTTGCATAAAAAAGATGCACGCAAGCGCATACATAATTTGAACAAACGAAAACGTGAAATATGTCTAGTTCTAGAGTCACTGCATGTGACTCTAGAACTAGAGTCACATGCAGTGACTATAGTTCTAGTCACTGCATGTGACTCTATAGTATAACGGGTCGGTGAATTGGACTCCAGTTAAAAGTCCCTGCAGTCAGTTTCTACGGGCGAATATAGGCTTTTGTGCTTGAAGCGATACGGATTTCTCCGCCATGAGGCAGGGACGTTAAGTACTTTCTTGTCCCCATGGAGCTAGTCACGTAACAGAAAAATCCCTCTTGGCCGCAGCCGCAGCCGAACCGGCCCTGGGCTCAATCCCCACCTCTGCCCGTTTCGATCTGGATGAGCATCTACAGGCGAGCGGCCGTTTATCACCACTGCGTGGTGCGCGTTAAAAACCGGAGGCTAGCGGTTGAACCGCACTGGCTAAATTTTTCATCTACAGCTGAGAGGCAAGTATCCCATTGAGGCAGACTAAGCTCTAGGCTGTATAAACATACCGGCCCCCAATTTTTTATGGTGACCACAGTAAAGAAAAAATATTGAGCTGCCATCTTTGCAGCTGAATCCTGGGAGTCTCGGTACTCCGGGGACATGCAGTGACTCTAGAACTAGACATATAAAGCGACTTTAATGTTTCAACTCGTCGCTAAACGCTGGCGCTGTTGTCGTATTTATCTCGGTCTCGGTGGACACCAGCGGTCCAGGTTTCAAGGGTGAGTTTCCCAACTAAGAGATTTGGTCACGTTGACAATAGTTAAGCCTTCTTTTTACTTCACTACGATCAGTATATACAACCTGGATTGAAGCTCACTTGTTTCTTATTTACAAACGACATTAAAGGGGCACTGACACATCAAAATCATATTTTTTTTTATTATCCGAAACGATTGAAAACGATGCCGGGACATTACCCTCAAAATTTGAGATTTGGGAATTCAGTATTCGTGAAGTAAAAAAACAATTTCCAAATGCCGAATTCGAAGTTCCCGCGCGATCGGCGCCGGTGCCTTGACGTCAAAAATTGAGGAGACCTGAGAGTCCACTTCCTTTCACCACCCCCTGCTGTTGCCATGGCGACCCAAAGCGAGGAGGAAAGGAGCGAGCGCCCGGCGTTGCGGCGGACCGGTTTTGAGCGGTGTCGCCTGTTTTCCGTTGGAGGATACAAATCCAGGAGACGGCACCACAACGAACTCCCGATTTTTGGTATTTCAAAAAGAAGGGCCGTAGTGCGTTCGCAATTGCGTTAAAAAACATGTTTTAGGAATGCCGTAATTAAATGTTATAGAGATGTCGCCTACAAAGCTTCTAAATTTCTTGATTTTTGACGTCACCGATCAAAAGAAGCGAGGAGGCGAGAGGCGGGAAAATCAAACGCCAAAAGTAAAAAGGCGCGCGCGCGCGCGGGAAAATTTTTTTTCGCGATGCGGTTTTTTTTGCGTGTCTATGACTACAACTTGCATCGTTTTAGACAATAAAAATAAATACGACCTTTGGGGTGTCAGTGCCCCTTTAAAGACTCTTCCTCTACTTCTATCCGTATTTACACACGCGGACCTCCTTCGTGTCTTTCAGGACCCCCGTAGTGAGAGTTTTTCTATCTGGTGCAGCGCTAGGGAAGGAGCACCGATGCAGTCAACTTCTTTTTAATCGATTGGCAATGCCTCAAGAATTTCTCTCGCAAGTTTTTATTTGTTTTCTCCAGAAACTTAATGTTTTGCAAACTTGCAGTGCACCGGCATTCTCGACAATACACTGGTAGATGTCCCCCTTCTGAGATGTTTCTTAGTGAAGCTGCATATTGAAATGTCCGGTCATTAATGAAACGGCCGGTTGGTCTATGCAGCATCGACAGCATGATAATTGGATATTATATATGACTCTTTTTTCACACTACGCGTACTTTGTCCGGTGAGCAATGCCACAAACTTCTCCTTTTAAATCTCCCTCCTGGTTTACCATGCGACACATAAAATATGCCTCATTCAGCGCGGAGCAAACCACGTGAACGCCTTGCTGTCCGGCAATCTTCTTCTTCAATTTGTGAGTTACGCCGTGGATATAAGGCGCTATCACGATAGGCTTTCGTGCTTTTTTCTTTGTCTGGACTTTTTGCTCAGGGTTCCGCTTGATGTTGTTTCAGATCTTTTCACACGTCGCTATCAATAATGTATTTGGGTAACCTGTAGCCTGTAGCCTTGAAATTTGTGTTTTCAAGCTTCGCCCGAATTGACGATGGAGGGACGTTTGAAGGGCAGATGTACGTGCTGTAGTGACCACACCTTGTTTTAGATTATTCGAAGGTCTGGAGTCAAAAGGGAGGAATCTTTTACAGGATCTAGTTGACCATCTCAAGCATACGTGACCAACCGAAAACTTCAGGGCTTAATCCAGGAACCTTATAGACTCGTGCATATCTATTAAGCAGCTCTGTTGAAAACGTAGCTTAACGAATTTCGCGGCACCCGTTGGTTTCTTCATCCACCTGCATGCTGGTAAAATCAAGAAATCGTTGACGTACCTGAAGATCCCCTCGATTCTGGGACCCTTGACGTTCTTTTGAATTTTCAACATGCCGCGAGAAACACTTCACGAAGAGCTGGGCCGCACGAGATCCGATGCACACACCGGTTTTCTGTACATATCGTTGATCCTGATATGACCCTACCGCAGCTATTAAGTAAACACTCAGTACTTCCAGAAAACTGTCTAGGGAGATACTTGCCGAAGTCTGGAATGAGATAGCACCCTGGTTTTCTATGGTTCTTCAAAAAATGTGCAGGAGGCTTGCATGTGGAATTGAATAAGACATGTCCTGAATGTCCATGCAGAAACCAAAAACAATTTCAGAGCCATTTTTCGAAGAAGGGCGATCGTACATCCTCAGTTAGGTACCTTAAAAGGATCTTGTATCTGAACCACGCACAAATGCTTCGCCAAAACGTTCCACACATGTGCTTGTCATGTCCGTCTTTTCGAAACAATATCACAAAAAGAAACATCAAACTTGCGGGTTTTGGCTCTGTGTTCTGCTGGCACCGTCCATGATTATAAACCAACTAGCTCAGCTCCAACCAGTATCACAGCGAGTTTCCATAAAGCTTCCGACGACATGTGATTTTGGTATTCATCAGGGTTTGTTATTGTCATGCGATAATCAGGAGCTATTAGCCCCGAGAGCGAACGCAAGTGTCGGTCGACGCGCCCTTATTGTGGGATGAGTACTGTGACGACAGCGGAAGAACTCCGCTTTGCGATTTCGCACCCTGCTTGCTTCTCTTCCCCCGTTTTCTAGTTTGTGATCATGCTCACCTACTGTTCAGCGCCGCAATGCGAATCTCGTAAAGAAGCTTGTATCAGCTTTCAATGCCCGAAGACGTCTAGGTTAAAGAAAAATGTGGACAATCAAACTATAGGATGGGAAAGGCACCGTCAACGTCGGCCGTTGTGTGCCGCATGCTGTTCGAGGAGCGGGACTACGTTTATTCGCGACGCTGAGTAAGACCGATACCGACGTGCCTCCGTACCTTTTCTAGCGTGTTTTTCACTTTTACGTTTTTAATCAGATTAAAAGTACCGAACGTTATCGGCGGAGGAAATTCCACCTATGAACTTCCCCGTCCATCCACACGACACAAGGCGATTATGCAAAGGGTCGGTGAAGTGGCGGCGTAAGTGTTTCGGACATTGTAATTTTATTTCTCGCATATTAATGAGTTAGGAGAATATCACATCCCGCTTGGCGGGCATTTGAAATGGCATTTATATATAACGCATTTGGGCGGTCGTGAAATTAGTTCGCTACCCCGGCTATGCGCGTGTCACTTGCATGCGCTGGTTCGCAGATGCATTAAAGGGCCTAAGAATGAATGCCTTTCTCTGCGACAACAAAGGAAAACAGGAAGAAAAGCAAGCGTTCAAACAGCTGTACAGTGGAAGATGCGACAGTGGTTGCAGAATATGGGGAACCTATGGAGGGTGAAGGTTTGCGTGAGAAAAGCCTGTGGTCTATTGAGCTAAAATTTCAATTTTAGAGACTGCAAAACGTAAAACGTTGAGAAGAGAATAATAACGGGCTAAACACATTCCTTTACAATTGTTGTGCATTACTTAAGGGATATTATAAGCAAGTCCACAGATACCACCAGTTGAGACTAGTTAAATGCCATGCGAATCCAGCGAAGGTCAAATGCCAGCAATGTAAACAGATATACATGAAGAACTGGTATATGCCGTTGCTCCTTCTTCCTTTACTTTGCCCTGTACATTTGCTGTATCACTTGTGATTCTCTCTCATTAACCCAGAGAATATTTAATATGTTGCTGGAGCAGCATGCGGCTTTTCTGCTTCGGCGTTTTTGTTTAAAAGCAGAGACACAAACAAAAAAAAAAGGAAATGGTATACATAATTTTTCAATTCAGACCATCAGGAGCATTGACTGTGTGAGATGTAAATCTATCGTTACACTCCTGCAAGTGTGGCCACATTTCTTTCTTTTCATACACCATGCAGCTGTGTTTCACGCGCTTCCTGCCCTGTCAAGCATGC